TAGTCCTCAATCCAGCTCCTTGTGGGGACCCAGCATGATGTTTCTTCATTAAACACTAAACTAGCATCTTGTACAGAGAAGCTGCAGGGTGACTGGTGTAGGAAATGGAAAATGACATTTTGTTACAGTGGAGAGGAGCTGGTTTGGGTGGAGTGTTCTCGTCAGAGTTTTGAGTTAAGGTACATTTTAGGAGCAAAAGAAAATGAAGCTGTAATCTCCAATTGACTGTGGTACATACATAACCTTTAAGTGCTGGATACTGTCACTGGGTGACTGACATTGGCAAAGTAATAATAATAGTAATAATCCTTGCATTTGATATAGCGCTTTTCACGTCTTCTAGATGTCTCAAAGCACTTCAAAGAATAGACCGTAAAGTGAATTGACTGTATATTTGTGGGCAAAATGCAGCAGCCAATTGCGCACAGCAGTGTCCCACAAACAGTCGTGGATTGAAATGACCAATTTATTATTGTTTCTGTTTTGAGGGATTATTATCAAGCGTGTGGATTAAGGAAACTTGCCCAAGGTTTCACCCTGCCGGGAATCGAACCCAGGTCTCTCGCTTGTGAGGCAAGTGCTCTAACCACTGAGCTACAGGACTCCGCAGTAGTCCATCCTCTAGCGCTAACATCCTTTTGAAACAATCCTTTTGAAACAACACAAAAATTAGATGCAAAATCAACCCTTTTATGGACAAAACTGCCAAGGAGTCCTATAGCTCAGTGGTCAGAGCACTTGCCTCGTAAGTGAGAGACTTGGGTTCAATTCCCGGCAGGACCAAAAGTTGGGTAAGTTTCCTTACTCTTTTTACCTGGTAGTAAGTAAGAACCCAGGTGTTAGTCAATTGGCGGATCGCTTTTCTGGTGATAATAATTTCTTCAAAAATAAATAATAAATTGGTCACTCATTCCATGACTGTTTGTGGGACACTGCTGTGCGCAATTGGTTTCGTCTTGAAGATGTAATTAGGTGCTATATCAAATGCAAGGAATATTATTATTAGTTTTCTAGGCATGATTGAATCACTAGGTATTGGAAATTCTGCACACTGCTGTAATTCCAGGCTGCAATATTCCAAAATATCCTACAGGTCAGTAAATCTAGTCTAATTTTGCAGTTAATAATCCTTGCATTTGATATGGCGCCTAACCACGTCATTGAGACGTCTCAAAGCGTTTCACAGAATACACTGTAAAAGGGAATTGATCCTCTGCGACGCAATTGTTGAAAAGCTTCATAGTATGTTTTCGGAATAATTATTCCTAAGATGCTGCTTTGATGACTGTCTTGAAGAATACTTGCAATAGCAATTCCACAGCCCAGCACTCGAGGACGATGCACCCTCAGTGGTTGCTAGGCTACAGAACACTGCTAAACTTTAAGAGTGCTTGCTGTGCACTCTTGATTTTAGACGGTTCATTCCAGCAGGTCTCCGTCATTTCAAATGTGCATTAGGACGAAGGACAGAGTGATAGATATCCTAGAATCATAAATATTGTCAGAACAGAAGAAGTTGACCCTTTGGCTCATTGTGCTTGTGCCACTATCTGCAAGAACTATCTGTAGAAGTAAGAAGTAGTCTACACTTTTCACTAAACTGTTTGTTTGTTTCTGCCAAAGCCCTTGGCAAAATAACAAGCATCCACTCGAATGAGCTTGGTACATTTTCATTCTAATTCCATAATTCAGGTTCGGTGTGTGTGTACCTTACCAAAACAATAGTGATAATAATAATAATCCTTGCATTTGGTATGGCACCTTATTATGTTGTCAAGACATCTCAAAGCGCTTCACAAGATATACTGTAAAGTGCTTTTGGCTGTGTATTTTTGTAGGCAAATAAGTTGGTGTATACTGACCTCGACTGGAGGCAGAGACAGGCTTCTGGATTACCTATTGCCAAAGGACATGGACCAAGCACTTGATTTCCAACAAGTGTGGTACAAAGCATGAGATTTTTTGACCTCTAAAACACCAAGGAGGTTGCCACATCAATCTCCTAAATATCCTGCCCTAAACAATGTGCCAGCCAATGCTGTGATGGGTAGGGAACTCTAAGCTGCGGGAAGCTTACCAGAGGCGTGGTAAGGTAAAGCTAGATTTTTTTTGTTAGTTAAATTCCAGCACACTTTGGGCACACCTTAATGCCTTGACACCCACAAATCCAATCCTACATCCCTGTAAGCAAAGGCAAGTGGGTGACCCTTTAGGGAATGGATCACACACACTAGAACAGACAAACAAGCTATTGTCAGTGAGTTTTCAATACCTACAGGTTGAATTTGAAACGCAAGTTTGTGTATACAGAATTAGTCACCTTGTTGACCAAAAATTCAATGTAGAGTGTTTGAATAATCAGTGGAGATTTATTCAGCAAAATATGTTTAAAAGACCCCAAACAATTACTGTAAATAATGTTCTTCTATTTCACCGCGTTATTACTTCAGTAAAGCTTTCAATCCAACCTTCAAGTGGTCATTTTTGGTAATGTGCCATATTTATTATTAATGTTTACTAAGTAGAGGATTAAAATGTTTTTTTTAAATATTGATGCTATCATATTTATTGACGCCACTTAATGTCCACATAGCGTCATCCTGAAGTGGTTGTAATTGGCATTTTGTTTTCTAAAAAAAAATCATTAAGTAACCAATAGTTCTCTGCACCAAACAGCGTCACCTCATTTGTCAGTGTACGAAAAGCCATTGTAACTTTGTTTCAAACAAAATATGTTTGATGTTTGGATTGAAGCCTCATTGTTGCAGAATTTCAAGTGCCAAACACCTTTGTGAAAGGAAATGGAGGGACGGGGAGAGGAGAGGGAAGGATGCAGAAAGAATTGGAAAAATATAATAATAATAATAATCCTTGCATTTGATATAGCGCTTTTCACGTCTTCGAGACATCTCAAAGGGCTTCACAGAATATACTGCAAAGTGAATTGACTGTACATTTGTGGGCGAAATAATAATAATAAATAATTCGTCGATAAATAAAACAATGAGTTTATTACACAGAGATCGAGTCTGATTTCCCCCTGGTCTGCTCAAGTCGGTACACAGCAGGGTTATTAATGAATATAAAACAATCCAGACTAGGAAGCATGTACGTAACAGGGATACACTCCATTGTGATTTGAATGGGATCAGAACGCAATGGTCCAACGCCCTGATCCGCAGATTGACGCTAACACTTCCCAGTCAGTTGAAATTGAATGATATTCCTTTTCTCAGGGAAAACCCATGATCGTTTTAAACCGCACAAAGCTTCCCGCCTGGAGAGATCACCAGCACAGGAAAATGCAAAAGGGAATGAATGATGCTTTCTATTTTTTTTTGCCTCACTGGCTTAGCTTTTAAATCAATGATGTTATTCCTATCCCCACCCCCCCCCCAAAAAAAAAACAGACACAAAAGGGTTCCCACTTTCCACATCCTGCTTATTCAAAGTTATACCCTTAACAAGGTTTTTTTTTCTCTCTCTCCCACCCAGTAATAATTTAATCCAAAGCAGAGCTTGCTGTGTGTCTGCTTGCAAACCCAGTCAACAAAAGAACTCTATTGGGGAGGGGTGTGTGGGGAGAGAGAGAGAAAGAGAGAGAGAAAGAGGAAAAAACTTTTGAAAACATCTATAAAAGGCACGAGTTCCAACAAGGGACAAATCTCGAGTTTTGTTGTTGTGCTCTCTCTCTCTCTCTCTCTCCCCTAAAGTGTTAGGGCTCTCTAGGGCTGTTGAGGTCGTTTTATTCGTTCAGCAAGAGAGGAATATGCTAACAGAACTTGTGTGACTGGCTGCACATTGCAATGCATATTGCTCACTCATATGAGGTGAGATCTGTCCTTTCTGTTCACTGAGCTGAATAAGGCAATATTCAACCGATATGGGTGACAAGTGAATAGTGGGTGGGGTGGGAGGGGGGTGTTGTGTGTATGTGTTGTGTGTGTGTGTGGGAGGGGGGGAAATAGAAGGGGTAGTTTGGTTCCAGGCAACATGTCAAGAGTTCAACAAGTGTGCCCCTAAGTAATGAATGCTTTTGCAAAGAAGGAGAGTCCTTTAGACGAACTAACACCAAACGCACATTTATACCGTGTGGGCACTTTTTGGGGTTAGAGATCACAAGTGGTTTGTGAACTCATTTTTTTCTTTAAAAAAAAGCAAAACACCATTGGTGGTGTTTCTTGCGATTTAACCCTCAGCACATGGCAAACACACACACACACACACACACCGGTCCATCATCCATCTCCTCGTTTCTAAGGTTCTGTAGGGGGTGGGGGGGGGGGGATGCATTTCCAGGGATGTGTTGTTTGTTTTAAAAAAAATTAAAATATGTTGAATCCAAATGCACGAACAGCCTCGATACTGGATCTGCAGGACACCTGCAGGACCAGATTAACAAGTCCAGTCTGTCCTCTTCTCTCCCCTCTCCACCACCATCAACACAACCACCATCACACACCACCATCCCTCTGGTCAACTGAAACCCTGAACCAGACACATTTAAGGCAACTTAGCTCGCGTTTTAAAAGGATCTTTTAACCACCACCACCACCACCACCAACAACAACAACAACAACACAAACAACAACAACAACAACAACAACAGCAAGCAACAACAATAAAATAACAACCAAGTGCCAAGCAGCACATCCACACGACACGAAGCAGGTTGCTGTAAGGCAGGGCACAGGTAAGGATCCACTAGGGTTTTTAAGGAACCAATTGCAGAGATAACATTGCATTCAACATCACCCACCAACCACCCCCCCCCCCCCCACCCCCCCAACTCACCCAAGACACACACACACACACACACACACACACAATAAAAATCACATGCAAATCAAGACTTTGTGCAAAAAGTCACAGGCAGAAAGAACCACGAAAAGTTACAAGTGTCAGGACTTTGAGCACCACCCCCCTCCCCCCTCCCCTCCAAGAAAAATAAATAAAAATAAAATAAAAGTCCATCAAAGTGTTTTGAGGTCGATTGTTACCTTGAATCACTGTCCCCAACATGAGGATCAGAGACTGGCAGCAGAGGATCCTTGCGCCAAACGAGCCCATCCTCAAAAACAATCTTCCCTTTTTTGTTTCTTTTTTTTTCTCTCTCTCTCTCTCTTTCTCTCTTCTCCTTCCTTCCTTTGCAGGTTCACAAACAAACCAGAGTCGATAGAACCGAATATATATATATATATATATGTGTGTGTGTATTATATATATATTTTTTTTAAACAAAAACTTTTTTTTTGTGTCTCTCCACTTTTTGGAGTGTGTCCTGTTTGGATGTGGCAGAGAGGGGAGGAGGTGAAGCAAATGGGTTGTGAGTGTGTGGTGTGTGTGTGTGTGTGTGATTTTTTTTGGGGGGGAGGGGGGGGTGTGGGGGTAGCCAGGAAAAGTCGGTCAGAGCTGTCAGGCTGTGATTGATCAGCAAACGAGCAGGTTTTCGAGCTCCTGCAGCTTTGCTCCTGGAGCAGGTGAATGTCTATAAAAGCCACAGCGCTGAGCAGAGCTCAGCTGCGGACGTGCGCATTGGCTGTGGGGAGGGAAGAGGGAGGGAGGGAGGGAGGTGGTGATGGTGGTGGTGGAGGTGGACACACACATACACACACACCCACACACACAGTCTTCTGGGACCTGTAGTCTCAGCACTTTTACTCGTTCAAGAAAGTGCCTCCCGAGCCTGACAGCTCTGCTTAAGCAGCACAGCACATAGCACAGCACTGAGGACTGGACTGTACTGTACAGTACAGTACTGGACTGCATTGCATTGCATTGCATTGCACTGCGCTGTGAGGTTCAGTAACGATGCACTCACTACACTTCCCACCTTTTGGCTTTTGCCAACGCCTCTGCGTAAAGATCACATCGATTTGGGCATCGATGCTAAGTAACTCCGGATTTGCAATGGTTTCATAACTTTAATCCCATTATACTATCGTGCAAAGTTTATATGTGTACATATATATGTGTGTGTGTATTATACATATAAAATGTCTCACAGCAAAGCTTCACATTTCAATGAAAATATAGCACCTGATTTACATTTTATACATATAATCACTAATCCTGGATCTTGAGAAATCTAAAAATCTATAAATGGACAAACAATACAGGGGGAGTGGGGAATCTATGTCACTGTTAATTGCTTGATTCTATAACAACGAAATTCAAAGAAGATGTGGAAAGAGAAGCGTCATTCAGGGCTCACAGTTTACATGGCATTGGACACGAATTGTTTTGCAATTTGCTCAATCCATAAAATGGAAATGAAGGGGTGGGGGAGGGAGAGGGGAAGGTTTAGGTTGTCTCTCGGAATAGGACACGAGTATGAAAGGGAATGAATGATGTGTTCCCATTTGCAGAAATATATAAATCGGATATTCATCACCACGTTGGTTTGCAGCCCCACTGCCACTGATATTTCTCTCGCATTCACCTTCATTCATTGCCACGTCCACCTGACACTCCAGAACCTGTGCAAAAGTTATCCCATCTGTTGATTTCAGATGAGCACAAATGACCCAACACAACCACAAGAGATCTGATGTACCAAATCACAGCTTCATGACCAGTGTCTCACAGCTCAGCCAAATCCGCGACTGACCACCACACCCCCCACCTCCTCCCTACATTTGAACAGGAAACAATCAATACATTTTAGGAGCACTGCAAATTGTGTTGCGAATTGTTGCAGCAGAAAAGGAAAACGCACAGTCGTATCGCCACCGCATCCGAAGGAGCAAAATGTACAATTGAATGGCAATTTTAGCCATCAGTCAAAACTGCAGTTCGAGTCGCACCACCACCACCACCACCACCACCATCAGCAGCAGCAGCAGCACTGTCATTCTGCTTCCCAAGTTGCACATCTTATATATATACATATATATATATATATACACGATTCACGACGATGCACCTGAATTTTCCCCTTTGCAACAAGGGAATCGTGCAGCTTCAAAGTATTCCCTACGTGGAAGTACATGTCAATCGTGGCTGCATTCCCCCCACACCACAAATAGTAATATAATTAAGTTTGACATTCGAAATACTCATTATGTCTGTGAGAGTTGTTGTGACCCGAATTACATGTTGATCAAAAAGTTCTTGCATTCGAAATATTAATTATATTTGTGACGATTAAGGTATGAATTGTATTTGGATAAGTCGATTGTTAAGTTTGAAATTCGAAATACTGTATTCATTATTTTTATATATATCATGAGGGCATTAATTATATTTTGATAAGTGAAAGAAACTACACGTCTGCATAAGTCTGATACTTTAACATTGGAGAATTGTCAAATCCAAAAGGCTGATTGCCCAAATACCTAAAGTCTGCTCTTATCAGTGCTAAGCAGCCCAGTAATACTATAATAATAATAAGCCTTGCATTTGATATAGCGCTTTTCACGTCTTCAAGATGCCTCAAAGCGCTTCACAGAATATACTGTAAAGTGAATTGACTGTATATTTGTGGGTGAAATGCAGCAGCCTATTTGCGCACAGCAGTGTCCCACAAACAGTTGTGGATTGAAATGACCAATTTAGTATTGTTTTTTTTTCTTGAGGGATTATTATCAAGCGTGTGGAGTAAGGTAACTTGCCCAAGTTTTCTTCCTGCTGGGATATCGAACCCAGGTCTCTCGCTTGCGAGGAGAGTACTCTAACCACTGAGCTACAGGACTCCATATTGCAGCAAGAAGTGGAAGAAATCAGCTTTATAACCCAATATTCCTCATGTGCCAATCACAGATCTTTACTGAGTGTTTTCCATGGTCAGTTACATTACAGAGTAGGTTGATTTCTTACTTCCCTCGCTATTAGATAACGATTAGTGGTTTCTCAGAGAGGGAGAAAAAAAGGAGAAATTTGGAAAAACCTTTACTTCTTTCTGAATTTTTTGATTCCCCGCACCCCTCTTTGAGAAACCTCAACATCATGAATGCTGCATTCTCTGATGTCGATGTTAAAAATCCCCATGATGCAATCCACAAAGAAAACCAATTATTTTTCTGGTGCCCCAGCCAAAAAATCTCCAGCTTTATTGAGCATTCATTTCATGGCTTTTGGGGGGATATTGATGTGTGCAAATTGGCTGGTGTAATTTTACCTGCAAATGCTCAGTTACTACTTTCCATGGTCAGTTACATTACAGAGTAGGTTGCGCACAGCAGTGACACTTGACAACAGCTACCTATTAAATACTTTGAGACAGTTCAATTGTATAGGGGCTCGACCAAATGCAAGAAAAAACGATTATCATTACATCTATAATAACATTGGGGATGTGATACAGGCTGCCAAACGAAGGTAAGTTTACAGAAGGTTTTAGAGGTAAGGTAGGGCAAGGTCATGGAAGGCTTTGAAATGAGAACAAGGATCTTGAATTCGATCCTGTGGGGGATGAGGAGCTAGTTGAACCCCTATTAGGAAGAGAGAGCTAGGCTCATAAAGCCTAGTGTGGGAGAGGACACGAACTGCAGAGTTTTGAATAGGCTGCAGCTTGTTGAGGGAACAGTTGGGAAGTACGGCGAGCAGATGGTTAGCATAGTTAAGCCTGGACGTGACAAAAGCATGGGTAAGGGTCTTGGCGGCCCGAGGGAAGAAGCAGTGGTGGAGGCAGGCAATATTTTGTGGAGATGGGGGAAAGCTGAACGGGTAGAGAACGTGAAATGCAAGTGAAATCTGTAAAGAATGTGAAGGACATTTGCGACCTGCTACTGTTAAGAGAACTTGTGTTTAGCTTATACCTTGGGGGCAAAATGTGAAATGTAAAAAGCATAACGTACACAGAAATGCAATTTGAATATAGGTTTCACCAATGTTTACTTAGTTTGACAAGGTTTCACAAGTGCAAGGGAGTTTGCAATTACAATTTGTTAACTTACATAAATAAGAGTACTTTTGCAGATTATATCTTGAATATACTGTATATGGTTTACAGAGTGGTTGTGCAGCATAAAAGTAGCTGCTTATGATTGCAAACGACTTGTAAATAACTAGAACTTTAAGACAGAGCATTTGTGTTGAGAATGAAGACTTGTCATTTACAATGATAATCAATGTATATGTGATTGCTCTACGTACACAACTAAACTAAATGTTTAAGATTCTTATTGATGTTTGTCTGGCTTGAATGCAAGTGTTTACACATCAAATTACAACGTGTAGATTTCAGCTGGTGGGTATGCAATTCACAAATTGTAACATTTTCTTCTGTGTTACAACTTACAGTCTACGCATGGCTTTCATGAATCAAGTACATTGTTTTTTGGACAATTTCTGCTGTGGAAGAGGCACTGCTCTTTTGCAAGGGCGAAATCAGCCATTTTAATTGGACAGTTTGGACTGTTGGATGCATTTGGCTTTGGTTGAAAAACATTTAAAAAAGGGCAGCAGAGATTGGCATGCACTTTTGTTGGCTATTGTGCTGATTTTCTTTGACTTGTACCTCCTACATTTTTGGTGTAACCCATGGGATTTCAGGTCCGAGAAGCGCTCTTTCTCTGCTGCTGTGTTATTTTGTGAGTGAGTTCCAGCAAAGGGTGTGACAACTGGAAGGCAGGGGCCTTCACTCTTTTTTTTGGCCATTCTCCAGCCACTGCTATGTAGACCTTTGATGTAAAATCCGGTGCAGAATGCATACGCTGTAATGGATGATGTTATACCTAATGTGAGATGAAAATGCACTTGATGACAATGTGATGTTGTCACTTCTGTTGGCAACAGGTACTTTGTAACCTATCTGCTGCAATCGCAGTCTCTAGCGCATACCTCCCAATGGCACACAATGAAGATTATTTTATCAACAGTACAGTGCTAGCTTTCAAGGAGTGACAGATGAACTGTTTTTTGGCAGTAAAATCTCTTCATAGGAACACTCTTGTCTTACACAGATAAGAATTAGATAAGATTTGTATACAGATGATTTCAGTTGTCACTATTGTTAGGTAAACAAACAAGAGAAAGTTACTTGGCAGAACTGCAATTAGTCTTGGAATAGCTAAAGGTTGCAAACTCTGCTGGCTGTTGCAGTTTCTGGTGAAGAGCCAAGATTTCCATAGGATCTTTGGTTCTGATCTAAATTTTGATAAGGTAAATCGATTAAGTTACTTTTTTTTGCCTTACAAATTAGCATTTTAGTAGTCTTTAAAACACATAGGGAATCTTTGGGGCTTACTATTCGTTTATTGGAAATGTATTGATCTTGGTGGTGTGTAAATGGAATCAAGAACTTAGTGCTAAAAGGGAGTTTACCAACAAGTCAATATTACCCCTCATTAAGTCTTTCAATGGGGCTCAGTTGGTAGCATTCTCAAAGGCTGGCAAACTCTGCTA